TATTATCAGCACTTACTTTAATAGGCAGTGCTCCAGCCACAAATGCTCTTCCATATATCTTTGTCACTGTGCCACGTTCTGTTAAGTTGATCGGGCTCAACTCTTTGACTGGAGACATCCGGACCACAACTTCACCACCTCCCTGAGGATAGTAGCCCCTATTTAGAAACAGTAATCAGATATAATTAAACACAAAGATCACAAAGAAACCAAGAAAAGGGCCAGAAGGCTCTTCATATATTTTTATGTTCTCTGTTACTGTACGTATGAATTTTCTCGATGTGTGGCTTCGAAACCTTTATAATGGAATTATGTTCTCTTACAGTATTACTTTGTAATGTACATCTTATTAACTACCTCACACCAACCTAACTGGCACCTCAGGAGAAGCTCAGTAGTATGCTGCCTGTTCAGCATGCACTGCCCTCAGGGGCAGCCAACAGGAGACATTACACAGCAGCTGTAGCATCAGCAATGAAAAACAGACGGGGAAGAACCATCTCACATTCATCACAAGGTGACAGTACACACAGGGACAGCTAATGTGGATTAGTTCATGTATTATAAATTCATCCCTCAGTTTGATTGAGAGCACCTTGTGTGTGCCTCTGTGCTCGCACACAGGTTCAGAGTGTGCCTCCACCACATGACTCCACAACTCACCTCTTTTTTATGTCACAGTTAAATGTGAAGTTGAACTTTTCAATTATTGGCTTAAAAACCTGAAAAACAAACACATATAAAAACACAGAGGGTATTTATTTTGCATTGATAATTTCCCACTATTTTATGCAGTCTTCAAAAAAAAAAAAAAAGAAAAAGGCAAGACAAAAATTTCAGTTACATTATTGAAAAGAAAAAAATATAGCCAGTCTCATGCATACAGCTTATTTGACATTCCTCATACTTCACTCTGAATGCCACTTTGTGTAAAAGGATTTTCTTAAGGAAAAAGGAAGATCAAATCACAGCCCTTTTAGAATAAAGAATATATTTTAAATGAAAATTTCTTTAGTAATTAAAACCAAACAGACTATTTGCTGTTTCAGGAAATTCCATGAAACGTTGGTTGCTCTCTACATACAGTACACTAATAGTGTTATATTCCCATGCCTAATTCCATAATCACAAATACACTTGCAGTAAGAGCAACAGAAGTACAGCAGTTACATTGCACACATATTCATGAAAGATGCACCAAGCCAAAGGAATTTTTCCCTACCATGACTGTGTAGTCTATCTGAGGAGCCATCTCAGCATTAGTCCCACCTTTTAAATGAAGCTCTGATGGGGAAGCAGCAAACAGCACACAGGGCATTGCTACCTGCATCAGTAGACACACGCTCCTAAAAGAAATTTCATACAGTCATAACCCATAGAATTCCATAGAATCATTACATATCACAGGCTTTCCAGAGCATTTACATACTTATTTTATCTTTGAAATTATCTGTAAAATTGTTAGTCTTAAAATATTAATTTAAAACTTCATGTCCTTAGCAAGCCTAAATATGAGGGGTTTTATTTCACAAAAATTGCATCTTTAGTAGTCTTGTTTGAAATAAAAGTAATGTATCTTATCTAGTATACTGATGGGACTGTGAAAACTGTGGGTTTAGCTAGCAGATGATAAAAGCAGACAAGGCTTAGGCAGCAATAACATTTTAATACTTATTTAATAACAAAATATTAAGAAAACTATAAAACTGCTTATAAGCTGGTCAGCATCCCACACAAGAGAATTCAGGAGCATAGAAAATATTAAGGTATTAGATACAAGATTACCCTATCACTGAATCTCTCCACATTTCACAGAGATAAAAATGCTTCCAAAGTAAGTTTTCCAAAAGTAGAAGTTTGTTTTGGCAAAACAAAACAGTTATCTCACAGGGCTTTCAAACATAATTTTGAATTGTAAAAACAGTAATCACCACAGAACTGAGAAAACATGGGTTTGTTTTCTTAAATAACTCCCAAATGTTTGTGAACCATAATGTTTATCTTTTTTTCTTGTGCTTAATTACCAATTCTGCTGCATTGTGGCTTACTCAAACTTTTCTATGTTAAGTTAAAGGCATCAGCTTGGTTGTTTATACTATTGCAGCTCAGAAAAATATTTCTCTTAACTTAAAGGGAACTTTAACTTATGCCTGCTCTGGCTTATGTTTCCAAACAACTGTTCACACCAGCCTTCCATAGCTAAACCCATTTACTCTGTTTTGCAACAGATTCCAAGAACAAAGGACCCACCACAGAAATACAGAAGAAACACAGACACAAGAACTGTTGATAGAATATGTTCCCAGTTCCAAAAGACTAGTATCCCATCGTGTACCACTATGTGTGTAAGCAAACTCTCAAAATTTACTTTACTAGGTAATGATTATTTCAGACTTCATGGATTTGAGATACTTATCTAATTTAATGCATTTGATCTGATATGTAACATACTAATGTGAGAAAATAACAGCTGAAGTTTTAAAGACATGAGCAGATATTTTTTGCTTAACATGAATCAAGTGTTCAAGTTTTATAACAACTGTAATTTTAAAACTATTATACTTGCATGTATTTTATTCATGCATATCCTTCCTATACTACAGGTTCTTTGGTAACACAAATCTGACTCAGGCAACACATCTTCTGGGTAGAAGATCCATGTATAGATGTTCTTTTTTCCCCCAGTCTTCTGTTATAATATTAAAATGACAAGAAGCCATGTACAAAGACATACCCTGCTGTTTTTGTATCTGCTATGTGGGTTCCACCTTTGATCTTCCCAGGGGTGAAGGTTATTTCTGTTGAGCCAATTTCTCCACCATTCAGCTTCCCATCACACAGATCCCGAACAATCTCCAATCCAGACAGATGCTGAGGCCTTGGAGTGACAATACAAAGTTAAAGATATATGCAAGTAGACTACATACTCATGTTACATTAGAAGAACTACAATACACCAACTAATAGAAACTACAATTGCAAATTTCTGATCAGTCAAGGACCAGAAATTCGCTCTGGTTGCTACAGTACTTCTCCTGAGTTCACAGGAGCCAAAGGAGCAGCATTCAGGCCATTCTGGAGTAGGCAGGATTCTGGTATCTTTTCCATTAGAATGAGTCCAGACAGACAGATGAGATGCAGGAGCAGTCGCTTGTCCTAATGTGATAAGCACTTGGACAGAAACGGAATGGATAAGGATGGCAATACTGGCAGAGCTAGAACCGGCTGTAGTGCCACAGGAGAGCTAACACGTTTGCTATGTATGTGTCTTCTTGTGCTTGCGTTTCCATTTGTTTGGGTAACTTACATAGGAAATACACTAGCTGTCCTTAACACTGTACGCTCCGTGAGCCACGTTTCGCTGAGGCATTATATGACTGTATTTCGTGTTTCATTCTGTGTTTTAGCACCTCTGGAATCATTCCGAGGCGGCAGCCCTCACCTGCCCCGGCAGCGGGCGGCGGGACCTAGCCCGGTTCATCCCCAGCGCTCCCCCGCGGGCACTCCTCGAGAGCCACAGACGGCATTTGCTGCTAACAAGGCTTTCTCAAAGCAATGGAAACACCAGTGTTTCAGACGAGAGCAGCGGAGGCTCTTTGCGCGTCCCCGGGAGAGCCCCCCACGCCGTAAGTGACCGGCCGAGCGCCCCAGGGCCGCCCGGGGCGGGTCTCACCTGCCGGCTGGTTCCGACCGGCGCGGATCCGGCGCACCCGCAGCGGGCACCCCAGAGGCAGCTCAGCCGCCTGACACCGTAGGATTCTGCCGCCCTGCTCGGAGAAACGGCGCTCGTCAGCGCTGCGGAAGCGCCGGCCGCGGACCGCAGCCGGGGCCAGGCTTAAGCCCGGCCCGCCGCTGGCGCTCACCCCCTCCATGATGTTCCCGCCGTCTATGTCCACCTGTCCCCTCCATGGCTGTCGGCGAGCGTGTCTCTCGCAGAGGCCCGCCAGATGGGGTCCGGCAGGCCCTGCGCAGGGCGAAGCCCCGGCGAAGCAGCCCGGGCCGAGAGGGCAGAGGCACGTCCGGGATGCTGCAGGTGCCGTGGCCGGGGGACGGCGGCGCCGCGAGCAGGCGCAGAGCGGAGGCGCCTCCCGCCCGCCATGCGTTGCCGAGGGAGGAGCAGCCGCCGGGTTTCCCGTTGCCGGCAGACGGCCCGGCGCAGCTCCCGCCTCCCGCACGGTACCGACCGCGGCCCGGCACAGGCGGGGATGCAAGCGGCTCGGAGTCTTGGGGGGGGGCAGTGCCTTTCCCCTGTCTCGGCCAAGGACCAGAGCGATGACAACCGCGGCACCTGGCAGGTCAGCGCCGGGGGAGAGCGGCCGGACTGCTGCCCGCACGATTACGAGCGAGTTTTCGTCAGAATCAGAGAATCAATTACATTGGAAAAGACCTCTGAGATCATGGCGTTCAACCTGTGACCGACCACCCCGTCAACCGGGCCATGGCACTAGATACCATACCCAGTCTTCCTTAAACACCTCCAGGGACGGTGACTCCACCACCTCCCTGGGCAGCGCATTCCAATGTCTAATCACCCATTCTGTGAAGAAATTCTTCCTAATGTCCGACCAAAACCTCATCTGGCGCAGCTTAAGACTATGTCCCCTCGTTCTGTCGCTAGTTGCCTGGGAGAAGAGGCCGAGCCCCACCTGGCTACAATCTCCGTTCAGGTAGAAGCACAGACATGGGGGTGTTGATCAGGCAGGCACACTCGGGACTTTATTACACGTGTATCGGGAACGGCCGGGCCCTCGGCACTGCCCCTCCCGCTACCCAGGAAGCCACACGCCCTCCCCGCGCCATGCGCTTTCGGTACACGGCCGGTCGCGCCCTTCCCCGGCGTGTGCGGACCCGCGCGCCGCCTCGCTGCCCCGGCCCCGCTGCCCCGCCCGGCCCGCCCGGCCCGCGGCCCCCGCCCGCCGCCTGGTTGCTGGGCCCGGCGCGGCCGCCGCCGGTGGCTGGGCCGGGGGTGTGTGAGGGCTGCGTGCCCCGGGGTAGATGGCGCCGTGACCTCGCTGAGAGCAGTGCCGAAGCCGCGGGGCGCCTGGTAAGCGGAGCGGGGACCTCCTCCGGTGGACTCAGCCGGGAAGGAGGATAGCGCGCAGGCATCCCCCCTCGGCAGGCCGCGGTATCCCGGAGCCCCGGGGCTTCGCTGCAGCCGGCAGCCAGCGAGCACCGCGGCTGCAAACACCACACGCTCGCGGACCTTCCGCCTCCCCCGCGCCTACGGCGCGGGCAGAGCCTCAGCTCCCTCTGCCCGGCCGCCTCAGCAGTGCCTGGCGGGCGCGCAGTGCCCCGGTTCCCCTGCGCTGGCTGCTGAGCAGTTCCCGCGGCGGCAGTGCCCGTCCCCCTCCCGCCCTTCCCGCCCTCGGCTCTGCCCGGCTGCGCTCAGCCGCCCCCCAGCCCGCCCCGCAGCCCCGTGCGGGCACAGGTGCCCGTGTCCCCGCAGGTGCCCCGGCCTCCCGCCCCGGGCTGCCCCTGACCCTGGCGTTCAGCTGGTCCTCGCTCCTGAGGGACCCCCAGAGCTGACACCGTCGCCCCGCGCAGCCCCGGAACGTCCTCCCCGTTGCCCGTGTTCCCTGTGAAAGAAACGTGTGCCTGTCTGTAATAAGCCAGTGACATCCTTCTCTCCTGTTATTTCTAAGTCGTCTGATCCGTTGCTCTGCCTATGCGTTGCGCTGCCATCGCCGCTCCTCCGCCCTCCATCAGCTCGCTGTGCGTTCTGCATCCGCACAGCCACGGGGCGGCTACACGTACAAAAAAGGGAAACGTGTTTCTTTGAATCCCGGGAGCCTTGGTACTTGAAAAGTAGTTGCGATACTTTGCCATAAGGAGCGAATCTACTTGGTTGCCTTTTAGGACACTTACAGTCTCATAAACGTGTAGCGTCGTGAAGATTAATTCATGCTTTCTCCTGTCTTCTTGTATTATAGTCTTCCTGCTGTTGTGAAGAGTGTTGGTTTCCAATTATGTCACTGCTGTTTTGTGGAATGTCAGAGAAAGAAATAACTTTTCTAAGATAATATAAGTAGATACAAAATTAAGGATCAGTTCTAGTTTCCATTATTATTTTTTCTCTAAATAGTAGTTCATACTGTATTTTTAAATCATAATGGTGAGGATTTTTAAGTGGTACTTTTGTGATCTAGTTTTGGGCCATTCATAAGTAATTTTACTAAGTAAGACCAATGAGAAATAACAGTTTCCTTTTGGTTTTCTTTCTAACCATCTACTCTTAAATGCAGAGGCAGATTCCGATAAGATGAAAATACTCATCTTATCTATGTGCATGCTGAACTATAGAATTGGCTGGTTTATAGTGTGTTTCCTGCAAGCACATTTTGAATCTTGCTAGATGCTAATTCTTGTGACCATCTGCTGTGAAACTGTGATAAGTTCCAAGAAATAATTTGGTTATTATATTATTAAAGGGATTTATTTTAATATTCTCTATACCTTTGTAAACACTTTGGCTAGCAAAAGGAAGAAGGACAAAGTCACAGTGATTGTGCATGGGGGCTGTAAATCATGAAGGAAAGAAAGGAGCTTGGGGGCCCTTGTGTAAAGTGGTAGGGAAATGGCAGTTACCTGGACACTGGGACATGTCCCAGTTATTTAGGTGAGGAGTAACCTCAGACTAAAGTATGCTACCAAGGACATTGCTTTACTATATAGGCAACTATATACTTGGAGATACAGAATATGTATGCAAATCAAATCCAGTGTGCGTAAATATTCTTTAAAATAACTCAGTGTGACAGCAAATCAAGAGAGCTCAATAGGGGAGTATCCTTTAATGAGAAGTCATTGCCTTTTAGCACAAACTATTCAATTTGACTTTGAAATTTAGTGTTGCTCCATCAGGTAATTGGTTCCCTGCAGGCTGCATAAAAATATTTTTTTCTGAGGCCAGCAGTAGATCTTTAGGATCAGTGGTGATTTAGAAAATCACAGTTGGCTTCTTTTTAAGGAAACAACCAAACCTGAACCTAAGGGGCAAGGCATTTCTCCCCTGAATAGCAGCAGCTCCCGTGTTGGCTGGGGTCAAACCACAGTTCTTGGTCAAGCAGGCTGATGTGTCCTCAGAACTGGCCAGGGGCTGGGGTGGACCCTCATTTTCTTCTTGCCAGAGTAACTCTGCACATTGAAGACTTGCACAGGAAAGGTGTTATCTTGCTGGCCACTACTGCCTTTGAATTGCAATATAGTGTGATAGTGGTGACATAAACATAACTGATAGTACTGGACTTGTTGAGTTTTTATTGCTAAATTTTTCCAGACATCAAGATATGTGGATGGGTATGCTATGGATATTAGAGCTAATTTTGTCTTTTTTATGCTTTTTTATTTCCTTATTTAGCATTACAGTGAAAATACTACTATGGTGATTAAATACTGAAATTAATAAGCAAATTTATTTATTGGATTTTAATATGTTTCTTGTTAGGAAGGAACACTGTTCTGTCAAGAGATTGTGCAGTGTGTTATTACTGTAACATACTAGCAAACCAACTTTTTAGCTAAGAATGTGCGAAACTGCAAACCAAAAAGATTCCATTTTTAAAAATGCAGGAGTTTTGAATTATTCCTACAAATATAATGAAACATCATGGTAACTTTTCTATAACAAAACCAGTCTCTTTTTTTGGCAGTGTCATTACTAAATCACTACCTGCATTGGTTACCAAATGTTAAAAACACATGGAAATCATTGTGAAACTTCACATTTAGAAATAGTTCAGAGATTTGATGTGCTCCTTGTGATCATCTTCACAGGTAAATATTGAATGTTTTTCGTTTAGGGTCATATAAAGAGAAAAGAATTTTATTTTAAGTTTGTGACAAAAAGGCCTTGTTGAACACCATTTCTTGCAACGTATTTATGTAAACCTTGAGGGGGAAAGAACACCAGAATCAAAAATAGGAACAAATAGGTTTGTGAAGATGTACATTATATATCACTTTTGTAATCTAATGAGAATTTTAAATGTGTTCATAAAATATGATTTTCCATAGCTTAAAATTACCATGTAACCTAATTGTCGGATAGGGAAAGTTGTTTGGAGGACTAATGAAAAGGATTTTGTGTTTGCTTGTTATAGGAATTAGAAAAATACTTATTCTAGATCAGTAGATACAGTCTCAATAGCAGGTGGCTGTAAAGTAACTCATATAATATAACTTTGTTGTATTCATTGGGATAGACTGTGTTGTGTAAATGTTGTTCCTTAAAGAAAAATGATATTAAATATAGCTTGCAATGCTAAATTAAACAGTACATAAAATGCCTACATTGTCAGTTCAGGATTTTATGGCTTCATGAATATTCTACTTTTTAAACAGTGTAATGTAATAGCAAATAGTTGAACAGTTTGGGGTGTGGGGAGGGCAATCAGGAAGTTTCATATGCTCTGTAATTACTGAAAGGGTTTTTCAAAAAAGAAGTTAAAATGAACTTTCCCATGCAGGTGTGCTGTTTTCTGGCTCCTCTAAGAAGATAATTTCTAAATTTTACAGTTTTGAGCTACTTGAGGTACATTGTAGCACCTGAATTTTTTCATATCTCTAATTAATTAGAGATAGTATCCACAGAGAAATTATTATTTTTATAAATTTTGCAGCACTGCGAGACAATATAACACCAGAATTCCATTAAATTTATATCTTACTAAATAAGATGATGTCTGGACTAACTTGTGTTGAGATTAATAAAATACCTATTTATGTCAATGGAAGTGCTACTGGCTTCGCTTTTGACCACAATCATGATGCTTTAAAGCATAAGGTTTTGTCTGAAGAACCTTTCAGAAAATTCTGTAGACTCTTTTGAGTTGATTTCTGGATAAATATAATTGTAACCATAAAAGAAAACCATCTCATGCCCAGTTCTTAAAAAAAGGTTTTTAAGTTATGTGAAATGATATTTACTTGAAGATGATTGCCTCCTATATATTAACAGAAACAAAAGGGCAACTCTCTGTGCCCTCTGGTGTGAATTTCCTTTCCAGTTAGTACTTCTGATCACCCTTTGATTGGAATAAGAACTGATGAAGAAAAATATGCTGGTTTTCCCTGCAGTCTGGGAGCCCCTTCCAGCATTCGTTCTGGATAAGAATATTTCAGTTGGCTGATGTAGTTGATACTATGTGTGCTTTGTGTGTGCACGCCCTGATTAAGCTAATTCCTTAGAGAAACAATAGCAAGTATGAATCTCTTACCAGATCTTGTAATGATTTTTGTTAATTGGTTATTTTGTTGTGGCTTTGATCTCCCCCTGTGTTGTGTTAGTCAAAGAAGTTAAAGACCTGGCAAGGCTTATGCTAATGTAATGGCTACTGTACATCCAAACATGTATTCAGTGCAATTGTTTCCTTAAGAACTTCTCTTACATAGACTAGAATGAAACTATTTTAGTATTATGTTGCATCAGGAATATTGAATGAGCTCCACGTTCCTCAGTCCATTGTATTAACACTTGAGACTTTTCTCCCCCAGGTGTGCATTCACCGTGTTAGATGGTGCAGCAGCATTCGTGTTATAAAATCAAAATATGTGTGCGTGTTTGACAAATCTGCCCTCAAGTTTAGTCATCAACAGCGATTATTCAGAACATCTGCTGGTAATCTTTTTCATAATAAAATAATTTATTTTATTTTGCTATTTTATGAGTGTTATGTTAGCGGCTTGTATATGGTTGGTATGTAAACTTTCTGATGCATTCAGATTTTTCTGCCTGATATCTTGTATTTAATATTAAACGTGCTGTACTTTCTTATTGTCTGTTTTAAGTTTCATGTGGCCAGATTGTCCAGTTTAAGCTTTCTGACATTGGAGAAGGGATTACAGAGGTGACTGTAAAAGAATGGTAAGCTCTGCTTTCTTAGAAATGTACTGAGAAATCAAGAGGTAGTTTAACAGCTTTAGCTGTGTTATCAATTAGTTGTCTGAGAATGTTTTCTGGCTTACAAGTGAAGTTTTTCAAGTTTCGTTTTCCACATTTTAAAACCTTGGACATAGTGAACTTTACATTTTGTTTATTTGTAGTCTGGTTTATTTGTGAATGGAAAAGGTGGAAGGAATGGGATGCCCTAATTGTGCCTATATATAGGATTTCCTTCAGTGAATAATGTTTTCAGTGTTTAGGAGGTCTGTCTTTTATTATGCTTACTTAGGCTGAGATTTGGAAACAAATCACTAGTCCAGAAAATCTGCATAATTTTATCCTATACCCCTTCTCTATTGATTTATTGAAAGATTTGAACTTTTAAATTGTTTGTAAAAGGCCAGTGATGAATGGATTAAACAAAATCAAAATGTACAGTGAAGAAAGGCAGTGCTGAAATGCCTTGTTCTTTGTACAAACTCCTGTCTCTTTGTGTAGAAGGTCATGTACTGATCCTGACAATTAGAAAGTAAGAACTTCCTTAGATTCAGACCAAGCTGGGCTCATTCTTATTTTTAGATTATTTATAATCTGACAAGAAAACTCTGCTTTACCAAAATCAATGTAATGTGTGTTTGACGATATTCTGAATCACTGTGTCATTTCACAAAACAAAGGGTTCTGCAGCAGCCAGGCAAAACGCACAGAGCAAATGTATCCATTATGGAGAATTTATCTTCCTGTCTGGAATGCATTTTCGTGTTGTGGGTGTGTACATAACTGAACTTAACAAAAGCATACCCAGCATAGATTTTTACACTTACTGTGTTTTACTGTAGCCTGTGTCTTTTCTCTCAGGTACATAAAAGAAGGTGACAGTGTGTCTCAGTTTGACAGTATCTGTGAAGTACAAAGTGATAAGGCTTCTGTTACTATTACCAGTCGTTACGATGGCATCATTAGAAAACTCCATTACAGTATAGATGATATTGCTTTTGTTGGAAAACCATTAGTGGACATTGAAATTGATGCTTCTAAAGGTATTGTAAGATATATTTTTCTCTTGCATATTTTGTGTTTATTGTCATAAAAACATCAGTGACAGAGAAGTTTACTTTTTCTTCCTGAGAATCTTAAAAAGTAATATTTTTTCCCTTTATAAGGGCAAGCAAATTGAGTAGAGAAAGTTGTTATATTTTATTAGAATTTAAAATCTCAAAAGCCAGATATATCCTATTGAATATTTAGCTTAAGCAGCAGCTTTTATAAAGCAAGCTGTGTTCCCATCCACAGTAACTCAGAGTAAATGCTAAAAACTTCAGCTATCACAGAATCAGAGAATGGTCGAGGTTGGAATTTAAGAAATGCTTGTAATGTAGTAAAGTCAAATTTTTAATTTCCATTTGCAGGTTTTGCCTCAGAAAAAGATGTTGTGGAAACCCCTCCTATGTCTCATGAAGAGCACACTCACCAAGAGATAAAAGGTCACAAAACATTAGCAACCCCTGCAGTTCGTCGCCTGGCCATGGAGAACAATGTAGGTTTGCTGAATAAGGTCCTGTTGCATTTTATCCAGCTTTTATATGGCATTTTGACTGACTACAAGAACATTGATCTAGAGGAAAGACTTGTTTTCAAATAATTTTGAAGGTGTGAAAATTGTTGTAAAATGAAGAGAATTGTGCTTTCTGATTATTATGGTGGGTAGAAAATGAATTACTGGGCTTAAAATGCAGCTCGGATGCTTTAGGCTGAAGATTAAGAAACCCCGGGACAGAAGAAGGTGGAGGGAAAAATAAAATCTCAGTTTTAGCCAGCTTGTTCTGTTTTTCAGATTTGTATTAGAGCAGAGGATATACTAGGTGATCTTTTTAAAGTGTTTTTCTAATGCCTTTTTTTCCTCATGAATCTGTGAATATTCCATTAGTTTTGAAAGTTGGTGATGCACTTTTAGGAGAAAAATAAAACAATAAGTACAGAAAATTAAGTTACAAATAGCTTTCCTCAAAGTCATATTTCACTATTGATCCTGTGAAGCAATTAGGAGGTAAGTAGTATTCGTAGTTCCTCCTCAAAATATGCAACTAAACAGTGGGACTTTTAGATGATTGGAACAATTAGGTTAAGTACCTAATAAATTATAGAAAGGGAAAGAAAACTGTTGGTATGTTGGATTGGTAATGGGAATAATTTTTAACCATAGCTCACAATATAGAATATTTTTATATTGCTGTAGAACTGGAGTGTCACAGCTTGTTATGTACTTTTCAGATTAAATTGAGTGAAGTTGTTGGAACAGGGAAAGATAACAGAATCCTTAAAGAAGACATACTCAATTACTTGGCCAAACAAACAGGAGCTATTTTACCTCCATCACCAAAGGCTGAAATTGTCCCACCTTTGCCAAAATCAGAGACTGTGCCAGCTACTCCAAAGGACAAAGCGCGCAAAATCCCAGTACCTGTTTCCAGACCCATTGTGTTTTCAGGAAAAGATAGAACTGAACCTGTAACAGGTAAATCAAGAAATATAAAATCTTGAGACCATGTTCACAGTAGACTACCAGCAAGTGTTGCTCTGTGAAAAGCTGCCTCCTCCTGATGGGCATGTGTTTCACGTTATTGTCATGCCAGGGAGCATGACTGTAAGAAGCTCTGTAAGAAGCGTCTCTGATGAAATCATTTTATGAAAGATTTGTGTTTTGGTTGGATGGAGTTGGGCTGCAAACTGAACTTGCTCATTCTTCAAATGTATGCTGAAACATGTAGGAATTCTGAAATATAGGTTTATCACAGTAGGAATCATTATGCAATTAGTGGCAAAGTACAGTGAATTTAAGGGTTTATCAGCACTTAATAACAGCATACTTCAGCATTCACACTTGTTCTGGAGAAGAGTGCCACAAAAGACTCTAAGGTTAAAAAAAGGCATATTAAAAGGGGAAGATAAAAGTTTTTTGCTTGCCTTTCGAGCAATGTTTATTTGGAGGCTGGAAAGAGTAATGCAGATTACATCATGATTTCCAATCCATACATACATAGGAGAGATATGCAGTAATATAATCTTAGGTGTTACAGTTGTAAAAATTGAGTTACATATACTGAATAACTGGTGATCCTAAAGTGCTCTTTACCCTGTCCTTTTTGGTTGTAGTTTAACTTTGGTTTGGTTTAGTTTTTGTAAGTTATATAATTTGTTTAATGGAAACAAATAATTAAATTTCACCATAGCTTCACAGAAGCTTATTTGATTGGTTTAAGAAGTCAGTAAATATCTTCCAGGTTTTCAGAAGGCAATGGTAAAGACTATGAGTGCAGCCCTGAAGATACCCCACTTTGGTTATTGTGATGAGATTGATTTGACTCAGCTTGTTCAGTTGCGAGAAGAGCTGAAACCTCTGGCTGAAATCCGTGGAATTAAGCTTTCCTTTATGCCTTTCTTCATAAAGGTGAGACTGTATGGGATATTTACACAGCTTTTGCCAAAATGTTTTCTATGATTGGTGTACGTTTGGAGCACCTCTCTATCATATGAATTATGACAGATCACAAGAAAAGTCTCAGCTTTTCTTGTTTATTGAACCACTTACCAATTTACAGTTGGAACTGCAGTGGGGCTTATATAATATCATTGAAAATTTTTGAAATATTAATGGAGAAGGATAGAGCGGCTTAAGTGTCATTCAGTAGGGGGTTAAACATCACTAAAGGTTGGAATTGCACAGAACAAATTTTGGAAACTGTCAGTGATTTTTTTGAGTTCCTTTAAAATGAACCTCACATGAAATGCATCATTGTTGTTGTTGTTATTATTGTCACAGTATTTGTAGTGAATAATTTGAATTGAATAAATAATACCTTGGGTGCATCAGTATGTCTCTTCTGTTGTTCAGAAGACCAGGCACTTGCACTCATTTAGCTGCTGTGGTTCCATTTCCAACCAATGCACTCGCTGCCTAAACTGTGCATTTAAAGCATAGCTTACCTGAAACCTCTGGTAATGCTATTGCAGTGCTATGTGAGCACTCTTCCTGCTCGCTGTCTTTAGGGGCAATTAATATTACTTCCTTGAAAAATTGTCATTTAAGCTGAGAACTGAGAATGCCATTGCAGCTGAATCTCATAACTTTTGGGATATTTGATTTGAATTGTGGAACAAAAATAACAAATGCAGATTCAACTTCAGTTATAGTGGGGAAAGGAATTATCATTTTTTGTATGTCTGTCTGATGCATATTTGGTTTTTGCAAGTTGTTCTTTTTTTTTTTTTTTGCTATCCTAATAATGACAAAGTATCAACAGACATATTAAGGAGAGTTTAAGCCAAATTTGATTGCAGTGAGGGAATCCGTATTGTTATTAACCTAAATTATCTCCTACCATTACTTCCTTTCTGTGGAGCTTTCTGGTTATGAAATATAACAATCTATCTTTTTTTTTCCTTATATTTAACAGGCAGCCTCTCTGGGATTATTGCAGTATCCCATTCTTAATGCTTCCTTGGATGAAAACTGTCAAAATGTCACATATAAGGTTTGTAAATTACTGATAAAAGTTGTGAGCAGAAAACCTAAAGTAACAGCTAACAAGGGCTTTTCAGAATGTCTGAGTTAATTTTAAAAACCAAAACTGTGGTGTTGTGCTGGAAAATAATTTGTGTGTCCAGATTCTAAGATCTGGATTTGATTTATTATTGAACTTACTTCAGTAGTTTGTTAAACAAGAGTCACTTTGTTATTCAGGCTTGCCTCAAAATTACATATTAATATAGTGATTTTCTATTTTTTACCTGAATATGGGCCAAGCATTTAAAATGAAAACACTTAAAAATCTAATACAACAATTTTTTAGTAATGGCACAGTGGTTCTATTGTTCCAACACTCGACCCTTATGTATTAAAGTTATATTTTAAACTCAGTTTTGATAAAAATGATGTAATTTTCATACCAGCTGCTGGATTGTTACTTCTAGGAAGCTAGTGTCTATTTTCTTGAGTGATGTGCATGTGCCCCTTGCAGTACAAACTCCTTTTGTGCTGTTCGATCAATATCTCTCAGAATTCTTATATTCCTTCTGGCAAAGGAAAGGCAACTGAGTTTCCTTTTTCTTAATTTTAGTGTTCTCTTTAAAATCTGCTATTTATGTTTTGTTAGACTTGCAATCATCCTGAAGTTCAGTGTTTTCAGTGTGAAATCAGTTCCTGGATTTTGTATTCCCTGGGTGTGAGATTGCCAGCAATTTGCAGGTGTGGAAAGCTAATATTTAAAAATTTACATCCTTTTCTCCCCTCAAAGTTGTATAAAGGAATTGTTTACTAAAGACAACCCTTTCTAGGTTGAAAAGATAAATGGGGAAGATGTGATTTAAGTACCTTTTTATGTAAAATACATTTTATGTTGAGAGCTTATAATAACGTCCAGTTAATGAAACTTCTTTCAGGCTTCACACAACATTGGAGTTGCGATGGACACGGAGCAAGGTTTAATTGTCCCAAACGTGAAAAATGTCCAAGTGTGTAGCGTGTTTGACATTGCTTCTGAATTGAATCGCCTACAGTCCTTGGGCTCTGCAGGCCAGCTGGGAACAAGTGACCTCACTGGGGGAACATTCACACTTTCAAATATTGGCACAGTAAGTAAAGGAAAAAAGAGAACTACATCTGAAAACTGCTTCTGAAATGAAAACTTTACTGAAGTTTAATATATACAATGAATAAAACCTGTAGCAATTAATTCAAGAGGCAATCTGCTCTAAAAAAACCCAAACTATTTGGTAAATAATATCCCCAGCTTTTTCTTTTGTAGATTGGTGGCACTTATGCCAAACCAGTGATACTACCTCCTGAAGTAGCTATTGGAGCACTTGGAAAGATACAGGTATAGTAACTTTGTCTCAGTGATATGAGTGTTTAGGTCATCTGTAATTAAAGTGAAACTGGAGTCTCTCTTTTGTTTTTCTTTTATAAACATTTCTTTGTATTAGAGAAATTGCATAGCTTGTGATTGCAAAGTTTTGTACTGGTTTTAGATGACTGTACAGACACTAGATGTTTAACTGGAAGTTAAACACCAAAGGTTCAGATTTGTTTTCTAGAATCCTGTTATATTTCACTCACATCTGTGTTTAGCCTTCTAGTGGTCAGGAAACAACACAAATACATTTTTACAAGTTTTGCAACATACTATAACATTGTTGCTATCATCAAGGAGAAAATTTGAGAAGTACTCTGATAATGAAGTATAATTTCATGAGCCAGTTAGCTGAATCCATACAGAAATTTGTGTGGTCAAGGCAGTTTTATATTTTCTGAATTTCAGCCCTTAATTCTTTCATATAGACATTTGAGACCAGTGCTGGAAATGAAATTAGTATTAACTTAAATTACTACTTCTAGGTTCTTCCCATGAGCATTTTGTTCAGGGGATGCTTTAAGGAAACCATCACTTTGAGAACTAACAGTGCAATAAACTATTCAGGAAGAAACTTTTGAGTCAAGAAATATTTTCAGTACTTCAGTATTTCCATGATGGTGGAAACAGGATATGACTGTTTATTATGTTGGCTTGCAATATATTCTAATCCACAGCACAAACAATAACGGGAAGGTCTTGGTTTTTTTGAAGGGTGTTACTGCTGTCTGTCTAATTTAGGAAAATATTTAAATTTGGATCAACAAATTAATAACAAAAAAATAGAGATCTGCTAATGAAAGTATTTAGTATTTCAGTTCTTTTCTTTCCTCTGATTTTTAGGTTGTTCCTCGGTTTAATGGGAGAGGTGAAGTATTTAAGGCACAGATAATGAATGTGAGCTGGTCAGCTGATCACCGCATCATTGACGGAGCCACCATGGCCCGGTTTTCTAACCTGTGGAAATCTTACGTGGAGAACCCTGCTTCGATGCTGCTGGACCTTAAATAAAGGAAACCATGGCTAGAACATGCCTTTAAACTTTGTGGTTTAGCCTGAATAGTTATGAAAGCTGTCTCTGCTAACATGTGCCCTTGGCTACGTGCATTATATAATAATGTTATGTGGTTAAAAGTTCTCAACAGTTGATATCAGTCTATCAATTAGTCGTTACTTCTTTTAATTAGTAGTGCTGTATTTTTTCTACAGCAGACTGTCAAACTGAATAGGTCATGGCTTCTGAATATGGTGGTAGAATGTCTTTATTGTGCCTTTTATAATAATTGTCAGGCTGGTGGGACTGAGTGACACTGCTCTACACCTGCGGTATTTATAATCTGATTAACCTGTCTTAAAGGGGAATACTCCTAGTTCTTCCATGTTGGACACGTAAATTTATTTTAACCAATAATATCCAGATTCCCAAAAGGAGTTATGCAAAAATCATATACAAATAAAATGCCTTTAATATTTCTGCTGTAAGAGGGCTTTTTCTTGTTTACCTTAGTAAACCTCCTAAGTCTTTTGCTAGTTCACATTTTCCTGGCAATTACTTGCACAGGTATTCTTTATCAAATTATAAATGAAGAGGCCATATTTATTCAAATGCTTATTGATAACAATAATTCATAACTATCAGGACCTTAATACTCTCTAGAATATCCTGTATTTTTATAAGCTGAAAGTAGTTTCAGTCCCTAATGCTTTCCAGTTATTTTTGTTTCTTATAGAAAGCATCTGTCCATTAAAACCAAGTGAGAAAGAAAGAAAGAAAGAGAAAACAAATTAAAAAAGAAGGATCTTGTTTTGTTATTTTTATATTAGGTAAGACTGACAGTAAGCTGAACGTGTTCCAAAAGCTTGCACTGTGTTATTGATCTTCAGGTACTAGCATTTACCAGATTAATCAGATTCAACAAAGAGTGGACATTAAAAAATACTTTGTAAGATAAGGCTTTCCTAAACTCAGATACGAGGCACATAATGAATAGGTTCGAGTTAACGGCTTCAAAACAGAAAACAGTTACATGGCTTTAAGGTGAACTAAACAGATGAGGATTGTGCTGGTGATATAATGGGAGATAGGAAGAAAACCATTGGATATAAATACCTTCTAGAAACCTAAGGTGCAAACAGACACAAGAAAAGAGAGTTATATGGCCTTAAAAATGAATCTGTGACGCACAAAATGGACATTTTCTCCTTTCTTTAGATATATCAAACCCAGGAGCATTCTCCAGAAGTGTAGACCAAAGTTGTCTATTGCATTTAGCTGTGAAAATGTGAGACAGGCTATCAGAGGTAGAATCCCTGCTATCCTTGATGCTGGAAGTGAGCAAGAGGAAAGCTGGTAATGTAGGAGGGGGAGCATGGAGCATCCATGTAAGGTGCTATTTATATTTCTATTGTGGTATAAGGGTCTTTTATATAAAGGTCATTTCTTGCAAAGTTTGACTAATATATCATGCTTATCACCTAATTAATTTTTATCAGATTTATTTATTCCTAATAAAAAAATAAAGCCACAAAAAATTGTAATATTGTTTTTATTTGTGAATTTCATGCAGGCAATGCTGTACAGGTGATTCAAACTATTTCTTCTGATCTTGAACATACAGTACTCAAGGCTACCAAAAGAGCACAGCCTAATGGCTGCTTTCCTGCAAGCATATTGTTGTGGTAAGGGGCTCAGTCTGAATAGTATATTTTTTAATCTGATGACCACTGAGAAAATAAACACAGGAAACATAAGTAGATGAAAGAAAGCAATAAAGTGATTTTGAAATATTTAAGACAGAATAATTTTACTTGCACAAGGAGCCTGAAATTTGTCTCTCAAGACTCCAATAAATGGGAGAGCTGTTGAGTTTTTTTACCCTAATTATCTGTCTTTAGGGAGGAGCAAATGAGGTTAGGTTTTTAGTTATGATTGGCTTTGATCAAGAGATTGAATCTATACCAAAACCGAAAGAAGAAATACCTATAACAAAGAAACTTTTGGATCATTTTTGCTTTTGCATAATGTTTGTTTGTGTTTTTTAAAGTATAGAAGGTTGAAAGACTTGAAAGCTAAAGTACTTAATGTCTTTTAAATAGGTATTGGTGTTCCAGTATTTAGTTGGTTGTAGACTGAAGAGGGTGGTTTTGGTTTTTTTAGTTGTAAAGTTCTGTATGGTAGGTTTATAACCAAACTCACAATATTTTAAAATTTCATCTTCACATTTTATACTCCAGTGCACTTGGTTAGAATTATCCAGTTTTATGGCTTCTGCCTCAAACAGTGATCTGTGATTATTGTTGTCTCTCTCTTTCCATTTGACTGAAGAAACAGATTCTGACAGATTCTCCTTTTATCTTCTCTAAGGACTGTTTGAAGAAATAGAATGTTAAAAATGTTTCATGGTTGGAAGCATGAAAAGGGGTGAGTAACAACCCCTCTGTACCTCTTGATAAAGATTAGTTTTCTATCTGGACTTTGCTAATTGGCACTAAAATTCTTCAACAAAAGAATTTTTCAGCATAGACAGAAGTAATGAGTAAAATACTTAGTGATGTAATACTTTTTCTAGTCTATTCAGTCTGTGTTGCTGTTTATTAGCACTTTGAAGCTCAGTTATATTGCAGAGAAACATTACTAGAGTAAACAAGTAGTTGTCATTTTCAATTCAAAACTAGACTTTTTTATCTTTGTTATTTTTAATTCAATATGAGCTCATTGTAGAGAATAACAATTACTCCTTTGTTCTTCTTTTTCACAATTTGTAACTTTTTTAAGTGGGAGTTCAGGGGAGCCCTGTCATGCTCAGCAAACTGGGGAGACTTTACAGTGGTAAATGCTTGGGGGAGGTTGCAGAAGTGCCTCATGTGATGCCTTCTATTCTCAGCATGGGTTAAAATTAGAACTAGACTGACATTGCATTGGAGTCTGAGAGTTCTAAATGGTTTTGGTAATACAGACAAGATTTGTAATTTGTCTCTGCTCTTGTCCAGAAAGCAATGAGTCACAGAAAATCCTTGAAAACACCAAATAATTGAGGTAAGTTGTTGTTAAATTCTTTCTGATGCCTGGAGATGAAGTTGTAGGGAGATCTGGTTACTTGGGAGTAAATTTGCAGTTGTTTTAGAGCTGCAGTTGGGAATTCACTCCTGAATTGTTGGCTGTGATGGCATGAGTATTATGGGGTTTATTTTCTTGAAAAATAATAAGATCTAAGAACAAGAAGCTTTTGGTGGTAGTCCTGTTATATGATAAAATCATCCTGAAAATAGTCATATATTTAGTCCCTTTCATATTTCATGGTTCTGAAGGAGCACTTATTGAATATTATGCTTTCCACAGCAAAAGGGAGTTGCCCAGAGATTTACTAAGATTTACTAAAAACAAGTATTGTTTTGACTGTAAAGTATGATACTGGGTTACTAGTACAACTATTAACAAATATCCCTTTTCTGCACAGTTTATATAAAAGGATTTCTAATTTTCCAAAAAGGCTTGTAGTTAAAGAAAAAAATCTCCAAACAAGAAATTATAAATTAGTTCAATCACTTGATCTCAGTAGAAATTTAATCCTGAAAAAAATCAGGCAATTTAAATTGTAACCACTAACTAGAGCAAAAGACCTCATGCATATATAGCATTACTATTGCATATTGGGATGAGGACTGGGAAGGGTAGTTACTCTGAGGACCACTGAAAGAGAAACTAGTTAGTCCTTCAAACTAGCAAGTGTGCTCACAATTATGTGGGGGAGGGAAAGAGAATACAATCCTCTCTTTAGAAGAAAAAATTCCATCCTTTTGGAACCCAAATGCCAGACTGCACTGTGCCACACTGTGGTTACCATTTGTGTCACTTGTCAAATCCTGACATTTTTCCTTAACAAACAGAGAACAGTTAAGAATCTTAAATATTAGTGTATCAGACCAGCTTCTTATTTATTCAGGCATTATAATTTGATTTTTATGTTGTCTTTACAGTAGGAAGCAATCCTAATATTTTACATTTTATTTGTCTAATTAAATTATTTCAGTATAATAATGCTTTACAAGTAAGTATGTTAACAAAAGACATAGTAAGCAAATAGAATGATTGACAGTTTGAAAACAAAAATGTTCACTAAGCAACTGTAGCTTGTCCAGGCCACACACAATTATAATGGAATAAATATAATAGAAAAGATTGGTTCTGAAAGACAAACCCTTTCCCCAAATGACTGCAGTAACGGTAATATGAATGATTTTCAGAGTGGTGCACTGATTAGGATGGCTGAATATCCTACTTCGCTGCTTTTCAGGAAAATATATCTTAATTATCTCACTAAGGGATAGGTGACTTCAAAACTTTAGACTGAATTTAATTTTAAATGTGGATCCTGACACTCAGCAGGGCTACAAGAAGATTCAAACACAAATCAGAAAAATTTAAAAGCCTTTTCTTAAAGGGTAATGCATTACTAACTATAAAATGCATTATAATGAGTTAAACCATGAAGAAAATGAATGCAAATAAAGTTTACTAATTTATTTCCAGGAACAGTTCCGTTTTTGCAAAGTGCAAAACTCCTTAAGTCACAAGTACTTATATCAGGTAGCTGCCAGGATGCAGGTATCAGAATTTAACTGCCTTACATTGCAGGTAACAGCTTAATTTCTTCCTGGGATGGGAATAAATGCTCAAATCTGCAGTACTTAGCCTACCATTGGAAGGAACTGAGAGAAGCTGAATAAGAATACAGAGACTTCAAGAATACCATTTCTTAGTACAAGACAGTTTCACTAGGTGCTATTGTCTATTTTTATAAAGAGAAAGCAGATGGTAAAATCCTGTTTGTTCTATACATTAACTGCGTGTAATAATACAATGAAATGGATATTGCAGGGTTTTAGCTCTCATGTCACTGTCCCCAGCTGGTAACTGATACATGGGCTGATGTGTTCCATCAGATTCCTGGGACTGCATTTGAACATGTAAAGGATCATGGCTGAAACTGCAGTTTGCCTTGGCACATTCACTGCTGTGAAGACACTTTGGGAAGTGAGAATACACAAGATAAATGAAGAATTACAGAAAGAAAAGGAACTCAGGCAGAGGTCTGCAGGAAGGTAAATTGTAGATCTTTAATTATGTGGAAAGCTAGACCATATGTTGCATTTCAGAAGACTGTAATTAATCTTTTCAAACTCATCCAGACTCTAATTCTTTAGTTGTTACTCCAGCAGAATTCCCAGTGGTTAGAATCTAGCAATATGGTCAGGTCAAACCAAGAATTGTGTCTGTGATAAAAATATTAGTATATAGACCAAATCCGTTAAATTCAGATACTAAAATAACTGTGTGGATACTCTAACCTGTGGAAATTTGGTTTTTTCTCCATAGAGGCATTAATAGGGTCACTTAGTTTTCTGTCTGGACAGCAATTTAAATTTGAAGAAATTTAGCATTCTATTTTTAGACCTCTTCCTGATTTATCAGATGTGTCTAAAATGGAATGGCAAATCCAAAAGCTACTAATGGAAAATACAAGCAGAAAGAAAGAGAATTAGCCTAATTGTCATAGTTCTTGTTGAAGTCCTCTTTGGAAATCAAGCTAAAAGAATCTCTTGCTGATTGACCTTGTTTTGTTGAACTTACATTTGGTGTAATGGAAGGTTTTCTTTTTAGGAGACTGCCTCAAAATTAAGGCTTTGGAACTTAGTTCTGCATGACTTTATATTCTGTTGCCCTGCTGCAACATGTTGAAAGTTAATTAAGTAATGTCCTCCTTCTGAATGTAAATTTGAAGAACTGTAAAATAGAATTCCTATATATAGAATTACCTTGTTAATTACTACATTAATTGTTTGTCTTCCCTCAATTTGATAGTATTTTTAGTATCCAGATATAATTAACATTGTTTGACATCCAAAAAGGCTACTGTGTCTTTTTTTCCAGAAAATAGATAGGATAGTAATTATTGTCTGTATTCACTGTTGCCCCACTGACAGATCTTTCCCTTGTAGGCTACTGCTTGTCTGGGAGGAAAGAGCTGCTTTGGCAAAGCTCAAAGAAAGAGTTATTAATGAAGGTGGAAGAGCAATTTTAAGGATAGAGGAAGAAGAATGGAAGGTAGTGTTGATAGGAATGCATGTTGAATGACTGATGCATTAGAAAACTACTATTTACAACTTTACACTTATACAATTGTACTATTTTTGTTAAGTACTCACTGTGTGCTTTGTTAACAGTGAGTTGGGACATGTTGTTGTGAGTGTAAAAGCAAGCTGGATTTTTTTAGTCATGAATATTAAGCATTACTCTCAGGCAAAAATATAGCCTAAAAGGCTTTTCTGCATCAGAAATTATTTACATTCTGAATTATGAGTTTCATGACATAAATCCTCATTTAACATTAACACACCAGAACTACTGAAATTATCAAGGTGAAAACTCTGTTGTTTAGGTGCATGACAATATTTCTTACCATTGTTTACTTTCTAAGAGCAGAAATAAGGCAGTAGGTTCCCAGAACACTATTATTGTGGTTTCTGATGCGTGGGGGTAAGCCACTAACAGCTTATAATGTCAGAGTGGAAGTTCACAGCCCTCTGAGCCACAGAGAGATGCAGATACCAGTTGCTATGAAGTGATGAGAATTAGGCCGTGTTGAGGCCAGTGGGAGAGCCAGACCCAGCAATGCTCTGGTGGTCCATAGGCAGGTGTTCCTTGTTTGGAACTCTTTGCATACATTGTAGTTTTTCTGTCCCCTAGCTCTTCTACTCTCAGCTGCTCACTGTTTTTCTTAAGAGACTATGAAACAGAATTTAAATCTCCCTTTACGTGCAGAAATCTATTTAGAGCAGTTTCATCATCAGTCATGTTGACTTTGTTGAAAAAAAAAAGAAAGAAAGAAACAAACCAAAGCAAGTCTCAAACTTGTCAATCAATGACAGTAATGCGGGTATGTAAATACTGGGAGCAAAAAGGGGGCAGGCTAAATCTGTGATCACAATGACAGCCCACAGTGGGTTCACTTTGGGATCATGGAATCATGGAATATCCTGAGTTGGAAGAGACCCACAAGGATCATAGATTCCAACTCCTGGCCCTGCACAGGACAGCCCAAGAATCCCACCATGTGTTGTCCAAACATCTCTTGAACTCTGTCAGGCTTGGTGCTGTGACCTGGAGAGCCTGTTCCAGTGCCCAGCTGCTCTCTGAAGGAAGAACCTTTTCCTAACATATTGATATAAAACCTTATAAAATATAAAACTTTTTCTAATATATATAATATTGAAATAGTATCAGTTATGCTTGCTACTTTTAGCATGTTTTAGAAATCAACTACCAGGATTCATTTCGTAACCTACATGTTACAGTATAGCTTAAGAAGAACGAAAGTCTGTTAGTGTTCAAATAAAATTTCTACCTCAGCCTGTATTCTTCTTGTATACTAAGCTGAATTTCTTCTGGTTCATATTTCTTGTCTTAGACACTACCTTCGTGCTTATTGAAACTAGTCCATCTCCAGGAATGGCAGCTTCATAGAACTAGTCTGCAGAAAATTCCTCAATTTATTGGAAGATTTCAGAGTCTTGTTGTTCTGGATCTATCCCGGAACTCAATTGAAAGTGTACCTAAGGAAATTGGTGAGCTGTGCTTTCTTTTAAGCTGCTTTTCTAAGAAAATTGCACAAATGTGCCATTTTTGTGCCCTTTTCCTGTCTAAAAATCCTATTGGGTAGTTAGAAAACAGATGATTTAAATCTGACAGTGAGACAGAGATCTCCAAACCACAGATTGCCTACAAATTAAAAAATGACTGGATGGAAGACACATATCTTTATGAAAGCTCCCCATGGAAAAAAAAAGCCTGCAAGCACAGCAGGGACTAGACATCAGAATGCAGCTAGAAAAGTGATATTGAAAAACAGGCTTCATGTTCTGAGTCCACAGCATGAGCAGTCTATTCATAATTTTTCAGTTTTGGGGTTTTAGAATGCAGCTCTGTACTAAAGAGTCCTGAAGTTCTACTATTTGCATTTCAGTGATTTTTTTTAAATTTTTTATTTTAAATTTGTGAAAACACAGAGCATTTCTATAACAGTTAAAGGATAAGACAAAACAGGTAATATTGTACTTCAAATAGAATGAACATGAGCATTTCTCATGTCTCATTTGTGCTCTCTGCAGGCCAGCTGACCAGCCTCCAAGAGCTGCTTCTCAGTTACAACAGAATAAAGTCTGTTCCAAAGGAAATAAGTAACTGCATCAGTCTGGAAAGATTGGAACTGGCTGTCAACAGGAATATCTGTGATCTTCCTCCTCAGGTTTTGACACTCTTTTGTTTTGTTTAATGTATATTTTTTGAATTTATCCAAACCCAATTATCATTAAAGGATGCACTCCATGTTTTCAGATTTGCTGTGATACTCTGATTTTACAACTGATCCACAGAAACGCTGATGTGAACAGCCTTTTTTATGACTAGTCAAACTGAAGCCATGTGAGAAAAACCTACTTATACCTGAGTAGCTGAAGGAGCCAATCTTTATTTTGTCCAGATGAATGGCTTGGCAGTGCACACGGGGCAGTGATACACTTCACGTCAATTTGTCTAGGCTGAACGTCTTCACTGGTTTACCCCATCTGATGCCTTAGCAGAGGGAAGTTCTCTTTTATGGTTGAGAGTAGAAATTCATGCCACATGCCAGGACACAACTGTAAGCATCTTGACCAGAACAACTAGCTCTCAAAAGGGTTTGTGTGATTTATACAACTGTGTATGCATGCAGTTGAACGATTGTTGTTCTCAAATATTGAAAACAATTATCAGGGAATAAAAACAACTGTTCACCTACTACTGAGCTTTAATTTGAACTGACCTACATGTGAGAGAGACCTGCATCTCTAACTATTAGTCTCTTAGACGGAGATGACAAGTATGCAACCATATATACTTTTTAAAATTTATTTAAAAACATAGTAGTGACAACAGTTGTCAGCAATCAGTGCCTTGCAAAATTGAGTGAATCCAGACCGTGATACCCAATATCAAATCTTCAAATGGAAATATACACTATTAACCAAAATCCAGGATTTACAAAATTTACATGGATACAGGTTACAAGGTGTAATGTAGAGTGATGGCTTTTAAATTAACAGCTCATAGCAAATGCATAGTTCTGTCCTGTCGAGACTACAGTGATGTGAATGCTGTGAAGCTTTGGTTGTATGTACTTGAGTGGCATTCAATGTTTAGACAGTTGGATCAGATTTGCCATAAATTATCTTTGTATCACTTGAACATTGTAAAAGCACCTGAAGGCATGATTCACCAAAGGAGTTAGGTGCTGCAATACTGAATGATGCTATGTTGCATTTTTAGAATGTTAGTAGACTTCACAGCATGGAAGGTGTCAAGGTCCACTCTAAAATACAGTATGTGCAATTTGATGCATAAAAATCTAAATATTTGACTAATGAAAAATGTCATATTTCATGGAGTATGACATACTAAGGACAGTGCTGTCTTTAAAATTCTCTTTCTCCATGAGGCTTAGTGCATATATGCATTGTAGTCATGGCTTTCAGCCTATCAGCGCTTATGGCACTTGCTACCAGGTGAGGTAAAGTTCTTCTGCCTGACCAGTTTCAAACCTACCTACCTTCCAGGTGAGAACTGTAACTGTTAGACAATACCAGCTAATGTAACTCAGAAACCATTCCGTGTTAACTAGCTCCAAAATACGTTGTAATGTTTGTTAACATTTTTAGAGCACTGCTGTAATGCTGCAACAGCTACACAAACTTGCATTAAATCTCCACTTCTTTTCAGCTCAGTGATTTAAAGAAGCTTTCACACATAGATTTGTGCATGAATCAGTTTACTACCATCCCTTCAGCTCTCCTCAACATGCCACATCTAGAATGGTTAGATATGGGGGGAAATAAACTCCAGGAGCTTCCTGATGCAATTGACAGGTAAATAAAACTCAAAGCTCATCTTAGTCTCAATTCCATTGCACTGAAATTCTAATTATTAAATGCTACTTCAAAAGATAATTTTTATGTTAACTTCACAGCAAATTTAAGATTTTGTCAGCCCTAAAGTGATGGTTTGGGTGAGCTGGAATAATCCATTCAATTAACAATATAAGGTTAAATATTTATTGCCAATGACATTTTCAAACAGAGACTAGGTGATTATCTTGGATAGAGGGTTTCCTTAGAGACTTGTTGCATTCTTCAGCCTTTATGTGGCTGAAGAATTATTTATTTTATCGTAATTATTGATAAGATTAATTTTCTATATCTTGATTGAGTGCACAAATACCTGTTTTTCAGAATGGAAAATCTCCACACTTTATGGCTCCAAAGGAATGAGATAAACTCTTTGCCAGAAACCATTTGTAATATGAAAAATCTTAGTACTCTTGTTCTTAGCAACAACAAGCTTAAGGATATTCCAGCTTGTATGAAGGATATGACAAATCTGAGGTAAGAAAAAGCAACAGAAATATAAATAGAAATACTAGAAGATAAGTTTTAAAGCCTTCTTTGAGTTGTATATCATAGAATGATACTAAGGAAGAGGAAAAGAAAAGGCATGATCACAGTTGTACAGATGGACACAATACCATATAAATCAGCATAATTGCACAGATTCACAACAGTTGAGGATCTGGTCAAGCAACCTTTGTGTAGTGAAACTCACTTAAAGAAGTGAATGATGATAGTTACAGTCCCAAATGAAAAAGCAGGGTATAATACATTTTCTCATTTCCAAAATGTCCTCATGCCCCCCCATAACTGGCCTTTTATATCACTCTCTAAAGCCAAAAGCCTGCAGAAAAATATGTGACAGGCATAAAAATGGCAAAAAGTAGAACTTTGCCACTGAGAAATCAAACATTCAGAATTAAACAAAAATGATTAGGTATGAGGACATGGACGAAAGGATATGAAAAATAAAAAATGGAAATTCTTAATTGAATATGCAATACTACTTTGTATACCATGACAGAAACTTTCCTGTTGTTTGCATTTTCATTTGGATTCCTGGATGCTGGCCATTTTAGAGAAAGAATGCTAGTCCACATAAATCATGTCTAACCCAGTAAGACAATTACTGTTTCCAGCTGTTTTGGAAGCACCTCTTAAACCAAATATATGCAAGCATAGGTGCAGGGATGGACCAAGGACAAAGAGAGACAGGACTGGCTACTGCCTTGCAAAGCTGGGAGGAGGCATTTGCACTGTTGTTCTCATCACTCCTGTTTGTGGAAGCTCAATGCTCCTGACTATGGAGTGAAAACCTGAACACAAAGTGACAAGGACTGCAATGTTTTTTCCCACCACAATCAGCTAGTGTTATTATAAAGAGTCTTCTTAGTTTATTTAATACTATTGATAGAGGGGTGAGTTTAGTATAATAAAAGCCTTATTTAATTTTGCTCAAAATAGTGATTGGCAAATCTTAATTCAGTTTCAAAAGAATTGTTTTCTCTGGACAAAACTTATTGCAAGCATAACCTTTTTTGGTGAATTATCAGATTTGTCAACTTCAGAGACAACCCACTGGAGCTAGAGGTAACCCTCCCTCCGTGTGAGGATACAGAGGAGGAGGAGCAGCAGGAAATGTTCGGCATTGACTTCATGCACATCTATATCCAGGAGTCCCTCAAGAAAACAGGTATGACTTTTTATTAATTCTGATCTCTCTGGAATACAGTGAGAAAGGGAAGAACAAACTGGATAAATAAAATCTAGGATACATATACAAATGAAACATGAATAGTCTTCTTAATAAATGAATAACATTTTCCAAAAAATCTGTAAAACAATTTTTATTGAGGGCAGGGGGTGCTTTTATCAGGAGTTGGCACAGCAGGTCTTCACACAAACAGCATATATTCTGGTAGGAACATAGGAATAAAAGTGCCTGAGTTACCTAGAGCTGGGATAAGTAGAAGCTGTCTTTTGTATTTGTAATTTAATCAGTTTACATAGTTTGCGTCTTACAGCACCATTTATCTCATGAAGTTCAACTTTTCCTATTTCTGGATGTTGTCCAGATGGTACTACTAAAGAAGGAATAAGGGAGAGATGCTTATGTTCCCAACATACATCTTCTAGCAATGAAGTATCAACACCTGATAAACAGATGTTTCTCACAACTTACTTTCCCTGACATGAAGTCAGTCACCTAAACAAAACAGCCCCACAGTTTATTCTCATTTCTAAAACACTATGACAAAAATTTGCTGTTTGTAGCCTCAAAGGTAACAGTTTAAATGTTGCAGTAAGAAGCCAAACTAAACACTTCTGAACAGATGTGCAGGTGGCAGCTGTTTCTTGCAGAGAGCACTTCATTGCAGATATAAATGTTCTCTCTGATCTTCATTCTGTGTTTTGTGAAGGCTTAAAAAATGAATGAAATGCTCTTGATTTAGAACACTAGGCCAGCTTTTTTCTTATCAATATTTCATGAATGAATAATCAAATTAGCAAAAATACAGTTATCAAGAATACAGTTTACAAGTTAGTTTTCTTCCTTGATAGATTCCCCTGGCACCATAGGCTGATGAAAGAACCTTGGCCTACTTAAATAATTTAAGAGGAAATACAAAGCTATCCTGAACTTCAAAGTGAAAATAAAGTATGTTATTTCCTCTCTTATTTTCACTTGTTGTCTTTCAGGAAATCTGGAAAGTTGTACTTCTGATCCTCCTCCGATCATAAATCCTAATGAATAAAGAATGTAACTGAGAATGGAAGACAATACCAAGTATACTTCTTCCCAGCAAAGAGGCCTACAACAGGTGTCAAATATTCTTAGGGATTTTATTTTTCCACTGATGAGAACTGGTTTGCATATGTGTAATTCCCAGTGACACTGGGAAATATAAGACCTTTTCCTGGGTACAGGAAAGACTAAAACATTTTTTTTGGTAAACACTGAATTAGCTTTTTAAAAAAATCCAGATAAGTTTTTTAGGTTTTTTTTTCCCTAACAATTCCAAATTATCTCCTGTCATGTAGTTGGCTCTGTTATCAAAAATGGACTTGGGACAGCTGTCAACAGGACATTCTCCAAGGATACAGCAGACTCTGTGTAATACTGTAGTGCAGCCTTGTATCCTTGTTGTTGTAAATATTCAATCCGTCCGTGATCAATCAGCCGTTTACAGAGGCAACCTATCTCCTTTCGTTCTTCAACAGTAAGTATCCTAGTGAATAAAAGGGAGGAAAAGAATGAACATCTGTCAGAGGAATAGTTTGGTTAGTTAACATTAGTAGTTAAGCTTAGAGAAACTACTGAAATCACTGTAAGTTCATTTCAGTCAGGCAACTGTGACTGTTGGTATATTTTGAAATGTACATCCATAAAACCTGTATTTTTAAAGTAAAGTATTTCTGTAAGTTCAGTAATAAGTTTATTTCTGCAAAATGAGTTCTTTTGAGAACCCAAAACAATTTAGTGTGCCACTATACATAATTTTGCTTTTCTGCTGGAGTCCATTTGCTAGGCAAAAAATCACATACCCTTGCCATGTATCAGAACCACTCTCTGCCATGCTGAATGTTTGCTCATGTTCTTCTGTGTCATTAGTTTGGTCTTCACTTTCTTCACTTGTAGAGGCTTTGCTTGTGGTTTCTCGCATGCCACAAGTGGCCCAACTACTCATTCTCTGGAAATAATGGAATTCTACTGCTCCCAGTCCAACTGATTTAAAGAACTCTCTGCCTACATAATGTGTCCAGTCACACTTGTGATGGCAACACAGAGCAATGACAATTCCAGCTACAGGCTTATGGTCTTCCGTGTTGCTGCCATTACCAGCAGCAGTGTCAGGAGCCACCTCTGTCGTAGCAGTCCTACAGCGTTTTGCCGCAGGCTCTTCATTTTCTCCACCACAGCAAGTTGAGTAACTTTCAACCAAGCATCTCAGAGCCAGATCTGGGAATGAACAGATACACCACCAAAAAAATATCCATAAACACCATGCCATTATTTATACAGGCTCTATCATGATTGGGAATGTACTTTCCATAAAGAAAAATAAAATCATACATCACACACTAAGCCAAAACACAATTTTAATGATAAAAAAATGACAAGCATGCTTTGAAAACATGAAAACCCTAAATGCTAAATTAATATTATGAGACCTCCAGAGCTCTTCAGGGCTTATCCTCTGGAATATTTGTTCTACGGAAGTGAATTTGAAACACTTGGGTAATAAATTGGCATATTGTAGGAGAATCTCCTCCCTGTAAAACATGCAACTATTTGCTCCAGAAATTTGATATCTACGACACAATCTATTTAACATGAGCATGTACTTCTTAAATGCTTAACTGTGTCATCTTTGTCACAATGCCTAGAAAGGTGTCATGTTTGAGATATTTTTAAGTAGTAAGCATATGATGTTAGAAAAATATTAGTTTAAAATTATCAGGACAGAAACACATTCTTATTTGTTTGCTTGGGATACATATTCAAACAGCCAACACAAATTTAAAAGAAAAATATTTCAAAGAGGCAACTGTGCTAAAAAAAGTACTTTCACCAGATTACAAGTGACCCATGCCACCACACAGCATTCTTTGTTCTAATCTATAGAGCCCAAGAAAGGCTTTACTTCTGCCTAAACTATCCTTGCACCTATTATCCTTTTACTATTCCACTGGAGTCAATAGGTAATTAGAATATAACTGCTATATTCACCAACAAAGGGTTAGAGGGCAAGAAGAGCTTAAAAGGATAGTCTGGAAGATCAGTCCATTCAGAGTGTAAGATTTAGTATCCTAACTTTCTCCAGTTCACACATCTATAATTCATACCTGTTGCAGCACCACACAAATGCTTCCCAATTCCTACCACTGGTAGTTTCTTCTTCTCCAAAATAGGTACCTTACCTGGAGAGGGAAAAAAACAAACAACCAACAAACCCCTCATGCAATCCACAATGACCCTAGCACCTATATCTTATTATAGTTGGGGCAACATTTTTTCTGAATAAAATAATTTCTGCACACTTAGAAATAAATGTTTATCACTACTAAAACTACAGTGGTTTGGTCAAAGGAAAGTTTCTTTTACTAAAACAAATTAAAAGAATAGGATGCTGTGGCTGGGAAGCACATTTAACCATTTCAGCCTTTCTATACTGCCTATGAAAGGTAAATATGACATTAATGCATCTCCTTATGAGAAGTGTTCTCACAAATTCTATAGCATTGATGGTGCATACTTGTACCTAAACCAAATAATGCAAAGATGTTTAATCCTGCAAGTTCTAAAAAAACCTTCAAAATCCACTTGTTTTGGTATTTCTCACCTGTAATGATGTCCTGTAAGTGTATAGAGTAGAAAACTTTAAATGTCCATTTAAAATGTGTGCATATATACACATGCCTGTGTGTATATATGTATATACACATAGCATTAACATATCCAAGCAACCACTGAGAATAATCTTCAAAACCAAGACCATTTAAGCATTCTACATACAAACTGACTTGAACCCCAGTATTCAAAATTTAAGAATAAGCCTCTATTTCAGAGTGACACAAGCCAAGAAGGAACTTACTTAAACATAAGTGCTGAATATCAACTTGAAGCCTCTCAAATATAGAATCTCTTCTTTTATGTTTTCCATCCACCTGTTTAAACAGAACAAGATTATTAAGTAGGGCTGGCCACTAATAATTATAATATTGCTCCACGTATTAATGCCAGACCTTTTTCCTGTCAAGTCAACATCTGTGAATTTCCAACATTAAACACCAGGATTTTTTTTCTAATAAATTTGCTATTGGCGAAGTATGGAACGTAGAACTTTTGAAATTTAAATTTATTGAAGTTAAAAATCTAATACTAACAGCTTCAATGGCAAGAGTTTAAAAATCACACACTGCTAATGTGACAATCCTCTTACCTTGAATCTTGTGGTTGCTCTTTCCACAAGCAAAAACTGCACATTTTCAACATTCTGTAAGGCAACATCAACCCAATGAGACAGCTTTCCTCGCCCAGCTCCAAACTCAACAAAACATCTTCCTGGACCAAGTAAATGCAATCTTTCCATGTTACCTAAAATAGAAGCCTACAAACATCAAAAGATTATTTGTGAACCAAGCAAATATATACACAGTGTATTGTGATGCCTTATAGAAAAATGATTACGTCACCAAACTGCAGATGACTCTTTCAAGCCTCCCCTTCAGTGAGGGATTAAGGAAAAGATGTTGTTTGTACAGAGGGATTATACATTCTGACTAGTCAGCAGTACCCTGCCCTTCTTCCCCTGCTCACAGAACTCCACTCAGAACTCTGTGGAATGTATACTGGGGTTCAGGTACACATTATAATATTCTTCTCGCTGATCTTCAAAGTAGCCATCCAAAATATGGGTACTGTACTGCATTTTCTGTAAAGCATCAGTGCCTGCAGAGCTCTCTCTCTCCTGCAGTTATGTGTTTTGTAATACACAGGAAAGGAAAGCAGAGCACAGGAAACACACATTTCTCACTGTTAAATTTTTCTTCCCAAACCTTTCCATTTTACTACACTATACAATCCATCTCCCTTAAAATTTCTGCTGTTTAATATACATTAAAAAGGCAGAAGGTTAATTCAGGGTCTCCAATTCTTTTTGTGCATCTCTTACACAACCAGGAGACCCAGGACCAGCTCTTACAGCAAAAGTAAAAGATTCCTTTTTAGCAAATATTTTACTTTTTGTAGCTCAGTTTTATTATGCGTTAATAAAAAATATGAATATTTAAGTAATAATTCAGAGCACCACACAATTTAAAGTTTATTTCAGTAAATAAGCTTCTGTTATTCACACTTAAGAAAGCAGCCATTCACGGGCTGTATACATGCTATTATTTGAAGAGCACAAAGTTGTAAAGCATATCAGATTTCCTCTATAGGAAGCTACTAGCATTATACACACAGAGTTGCTCAAATTTACAGCAGCACAATTGCACTCCAAACCCATCTCTAGCTATTAGTAAATCAGTGACCACACCTGTTGTTTCAAGTGTTTGAAAGCAGATTCCCCATTCTTTGGGTCATTTAAGGCTTCTTGTAAAGCCTGGTGGGACAGTATTTCTTCCTTAAGATGAAGTTCCAGGCCTGCATGGAAATGCAAAACTTTTAGGCATCGCTTTCCAGTTTCCAAGAGTTTCTGGTTTGTAACACATGTTACAATAGTGACATGAGCTCGATCTGTAGCACTAACAAACAGTCTGTTAGGAACATAAATCTCTCATCATATGTTTATAATTGTTATCTGTAGTAATATTTGAGTGGGAAACAAAAACTGAAGGGAACAAAGGATAGGTGTTTTATCATTCTCTCAGTCTAGTTTATTTTTCATAGTAACATTTAGCTGTTGTAGTCTATCTGATAATTACTTCATATGTGTTTAATACCATGTCGCATATTTTTACAGATATCTAACAATGGAAATAACAATGAAAAACTTAATAAATTAAATTTAAAACATTATATCTAGTATTAAGTAAGCTCACCATTACTTGCTTTTTTCAACTTGACAATTAAGTTCTGCAGCTCTTCACTGGATAGAGAAGATAAAGTGACCTTTTTAAGGAAAAAAAAAAGCCACCTATAAATATAAGACCTTTTAAGTTTTCTAGTGCTTTATACTCATATGATAAATTGCAACATGTTATGTAAGGACTGAACTTAAAAACAAATAATTATACTCACTTGCTTTTCTGGTATTTCTGCCACATCTTTTAAACCTGCATTAATATCTTGAACAAAGTAGACCTTTAAAAAATCAAAGAAAAATCTGATTCTGTTAATTACCAGGAAGCAAATTACTACATTCTTCAGCATTTTTATCATAAGATATGTAGCAATAGGTATCCACAGCAAAATAAGATTTTCCACGTAATTTCTCTTCCTATAGTCTGATCCTGAATCCCTGGCACAAATGAGTGTTCTGACATGTTTTTACAAGATTGAACATGTTCGCAAAATTTAAGCAGTCAGTGCTTACTGATTGCAGAGACCATTTGTTATTGTTTCTCAGGTAATAGTGACAGTGCAATACTAATAAGGCAGAAAGGCAATAAAGAAGCCATCTTTTCTGGGAACAGCTTTTAAACACATATTCTGTTCCTTCCCTCAGCACTGCTGCAAGTGTCTGCCCAGCTTTCCGTGACTCACTGCTGGCCTGCAGGAACCAGGAGTTGGCTGAAAGTACCTAGAGCCTCCCTGCTAGTTCTGCTTTCCGAGGACAACCTCTCACCCAGCCTCCAAAATGAATGGCATTGCAAGAGGCTGTTCTCAGGGTACATTTTTGAGAAAAATTAATTCAGCTTTTGGGGTTTTTTTGTAACTAAGAGAACTGAAAAGTTGTACCAAACTACAGTGTGAAGGGACACAGAACAGGAGGAGACTGGAACATGAATTCCATTTCAGGAAGTACTTATTCAGCTTCCATGCTGTCCTTACTGTAGTGCTTGCTAGAAGTGCTGTCAGCTGTTGTCAGCACAACAAATTCTCTACAGAGATGTAATGTTTAAGGTCTTAAATCTGAAAAGAAGTGCTGATTTTATGCTGCACTTACGGGCTTTGGCTTCTCTCTTGAATTACATTTTTTTAAATGCTTTTGTAGTTGGTCTTCATATACAGTGCTAAAATCAAAATGGAAAGAAAAGTAAGTAATAGCATTTGTCATGTGAACTCTGACAAAGAATAGGGAAAGCATTTACATATACTCACTGTTTTGGATCAAGAGGGCAGGGAATTCTTTTTCTGTCATTTTGTTCCTAGTTAGAAAAGTTTTAGACAACAGTTCAGCATGCATTCAGTGTCCTGTTTCATAAAAGCTGTTTAGGGGCATCGGTTTCATAAAACATCTATTCAGAGGTAGGTGAGAAACTGAGAGAAGAATTTAATACTTAACTGGATCCTAAAATAATAAACCTATAATGCAACAGCAGCGTTACTGCTGGGCTGCCCGAGTGCCTCGGCACACGAGGGCTCGGAGGGAGGCACAGGCGCTGCCAATCTCCCGGTGCTGACGGACCAGGGCCCCGCGGTACCGCCGGGACTGCCCAAGCCCTCCCGCCCTCCCGGCCGGAGAAGG